AAATACGTCTGCAAAAGTCTGTGTGCACTTTCTCAATAATGGCTGAATACTGATAGCCCCAAATTTCTGCACCATAACACAAAATCGGTCGGACTATCGTGTCAAATAATTTAAAAGCGTCTTTAGGGCTAAAGGTACCAAAGTATCGTTGCTGACTCAGAATACAATACACTGCTTTAGAAGCTTGTTTGGCAAGAGTTGTTCGCGTGAGAGACCAACACAATTTAGGAGTGAAATATAGTCCCAAATATTTATAGTATGAAACCACTTCTAATTTGATGCCATTAAAGTACCAGCGTTCGTAGTTACGCAATGGGCCACCGTTTCGAAAAACCATGACTTTAGATTTATCGGTGTTTAATTGTAGTCCACTATTATTGCAAAACATTTCTATGGTATTTATATGTCTTTGTAAGTTTATAGCTGTATCTGCAAATGTTGAAACGTCATCGGCAAATACTTATTGATCACTAACAAATTTGTTTCTCCTAAATGACATCTCTTAGAATCAGGAGGAAAAACCTACACAGATGAATGAAATATCATAATGTCCTGATCTTAACCTTGATTAATCTCAGTCTTCTAAATTGTCTTGTGAACTTTTTATTGAATGTCATTTTTATATTTAGTCTGTGTGTCATACAATGATTGTCGGATATCTTATCTGATAAGATAATATCGATGCCCCGTTTATATGTAGGTTGTTTTATCACAGCCTGTTCTTTTACATATACCTCTAATTATATAACCATCAACTCTTTTCGCTATTTGTTAAATTTAACGCCGATAGTGTGCCAGTAGTTATCTAGCAGTAATAAGAAAAAACAAACAAAGAGGTTTTGTTTGAAAATCATATCTTATTATGTTCATGCTTTGTGAAAATGATTGATAATTGTAAGAAAACAAAAGGCACATGGGCATCGACATTATATAATAAAAATAGACACCAACAATGTATTGATATAATAGTAGCAATAGAATACTTTCGCATATATTATCTTTACACATTGTTGTTATAATAAATGAATACTTTAAAATCAGTTCATATCAAAATGAAACCCAAACTAAACCCGTTTGTCTGTTTATAGATTTCAAAAGTAATTATTAAACACCATAGCGTTATTGACGTTAAGTTCAATTATAACTATTTCAAGAATAGCGTTTCTGCTTTTAAATGATATATTTTACTAAATGTACTTGATGTGCCGTCAGTCAAGTCAATGATTATTTCTGAGTTTGTGATGGAATATTCACAGATCAAAATGCTATATATCAGACGTTTAAGTATTTTGCATGTCTTTATCATTTGTAACCGGTTCAAGACAAAATAAAACAACAAGAAGACTAATCTTACCTCTTAAATATCAACATTTGAAGTTATGTCAACATTGGAAATGAAAAAAAATTAATTGGGTTTTAAGTAGCGTACCTCCAGAATCTTGTGTTCTTGCTTTTTTTGTTCAATGAAAATTTGGAAATGTATTTAAAAGTAAAAAAACATGTTTTCTGAAATAAGCAGAGAAAGTTATTAGCACACTGTATATGGCAATCACCTAAAATTACGATAAGGGATAACATATGCAAAAGTAGCCCTTGCTGTGGTAGTCACGCAGTAGCAATCTGATGATCAATTATGCACATCGATATATCAATCGTACGCACAAGTCATACGAATTATCTATTTTCTATTTGCCTTATGTTGTCTGATATTTCTAATACTGTTATTCATTATCGCCATTATCTTGTTTATGAATGTAGACAAGAGATAAAGAACAACTCTTTAGCACTTACAAAGTGTTTATTTTTTAAATTACCTGATGCAAATCTTTATCAATGTCAAAACAAGTGTATTTTATATGTTTTATAATTTAGCCATGAACTTACATGTTTGTGTCAGTATATATTTTTGTTGTTATTGTTAGAGTTAATTTAAAATAATGTTATAATTGTTATGTCCGCGTTGGAGATTATTTAAAATAATGTTATAATTGTTATGTCCGCGTTGGAGATTATTTAAAATAATGTTATAATTGTTATGTCCGCGTTGGAGATTATTTAAAATAATGTTATAATTGTTATGTCCGCGTTGGAGATTATTTAAAATAATGTTATAATTGTTATGTCCGCGTTGGAGATTATTTAAAATAATGTTATAATTGTTATGTCCACGTTGGAGATTATTTAAAATAATGTTATAATTGTTATGTCCGCATTGGAGATTATTTAAAATAATGTTATAATTGTTATGTCCACGTTGGAGATTATTTAAAATAATGTTATAATTGTAATGTCCGCGTTGGAGATAATTTAAAATAATGTTATAATTGTCATGTCCGCGTGATAGATTATTTAAAATAATGTTATAATTGTTATGCCCGCGTTAGAGATTATTTAAAATAATGTTTTAATTGTTATGTCCGCGTTGGAGATAATTTAAAATAATGTTATAATTGTTATGTCCGCGTTGGAGATTATTTAAAATAATGTTATAATTTTTATGTCCGCGTGGTAGATTATTTTAAATAATGTTATAATTGTTTTGTCCCCGTTGGAGATTATTTAAAATAATGTTATAACTGTTATGCCCACGTGGTAGATTATTTAAAATAATGTTGTAATTGTTATGTCTCCGTTGGAGATTATTTAAAATAATGTTATAATTGTTATGTCCACGTTGGAGATTATTTGGTTTTACTGGTGCTGTCCTATAGTACACAAGAACGCCATGTTCTTTTTTTGATTGAATATCGATAAATTATTTTGTATAATAATATTATCCAAATGCGTACCATGGTATCCAGAAATATAGCCGTTATTTCAAAAAGCTCTAATAGTGAGGCAAAGTTTTTAAGAAGGACCACCTAAGTGTTGTAAGCTAGATAATTCAGTAACTACATACTTACAGCAGATTAACTTTACACTTCTTCTTAAAATTGCTTTTACGTTTGCAATATTAATTTAACAAACATTCTTTCATTTTAATGTCAATATAATTTATATATTATATTCTACTTTTACCGTCGCAAATAAGTTAAATGACTGTTTAAGCAAATACTTATTACACTGAAACATGGCATTTTTATTTTTCTATGTTCATATTATATTCTAGCTTCAACATTGATTTTGACTGACCCGATTTATCTGATAACGATAAACCAAGGCCAACATTTGGTATGTCATATGACATTAAGCATGTTTCACATTTTCAAATTTAAGTGTTTGAATTACGCACTCAAGCATACATGGAAATAATCGATTGAAACTGTCATGTTTTCTAACTTGTTTGACTTAGAAATACATGTATATTTATTATTGTAAGTGAATGGTGGCTTATTTGTGCTATTTGTGTATTTCACCCTCGACCCTAAGCGAGACGCGAGGCGAAGTAAAATATATAAAACCTTGCCCAGCGGGTGAACGCGGAGCGAGATCTAAGAAATAAAACGGCGAGATTTAATAAGTAAAACGGCGTTTTTTCGCTCCGTGCCCCCGCTTTTTAAAATTGCAAACTTTCGCATTAGCGGAAACACTCTAAATTAGCGGGGATGCAGGGCGAAGTTTTGTTTATTAAACTTCGCCCGCGCCTCCGCTTATTATTGTTTTCGCTTCGCACCAAACTATTGCATTTCTTAACATCTCGCTCCGCGCCCCGAGTTGCGAAGTTATATATTTATTAAACTTTGCATAAGCTCGTTTTCGTTCTGCGCCCTAGCCATTTTAACTTGTTAATACTCCAGTTTTCATTGGCGTGGTTGTGGAGCGAAAACACGAATGACACAAATCAGCCATGCTGTATGCTGGTTTATTGAATAAGAAGTAAAAGTGAAAGACAAGATCAATAAGGGAAGGTGGCATTCAATAAACGCACCCTTTCACGACCGAGCAACAAACAATATTACCTACAAACAATGCATTATAATTATATTCTAGCAACAGTCAACGACATGAAGCACTTTATGTAGAACAATTCAACTCAAGAACAACATCTCTTCAACTAACTCCAATAAACTCAAATAGAGGCGAAATTCGAGTTTATATACCCATCTGCAAAAATAGACTGACTAAGACCCACTTGCGCAAATCAGACATTTTGCGCGACCTGACTGTTTTTCGACATATTTAATTTGCTGACAATGCCTTAAGATTGTTCAAAATGACACACGTGTTTCAGGTGTACATCAAGTTGTGCAATATTCACATAACTTAAAAACATGCACAATAATTACATAAATGTACACATGAACTAAATAGCATATTTATTTGTTCATCAACGTAACTAAGTAAACAATGTTTCTGTATAAAGTAAATATATGTGTACTTAGTCTATCTAACATTTGGAATATTGATACACTAATTTTTATTGACAATTTTGTAAATTATTAACAGCAGAGAAATAAACATAATATTTCTTTATCTAAATAATTTAAAAGTTCTGTTTCCATTTACTTTAATAGCTCCAGCTTATGAGATTATTCAGTTAGTTTTTGTTATTGTAATCTAGTAAATCAAGTCCAAAGGAATCTAGGCCGAGGCTTCATTATATTGATTGAGGCCTAATTATGCGCATACATGTTGGATTGGATTAAACAAACGATACTATCTAGAAGTCACATTTGTATTTGCTTTTTATAAAAGCCACCATCAGGAGCATGTACACGTTGCTGTATATCATTAAAGTGTCCTGTCATACTTACGTGCATGTAAGATATTATTTTGAAAGTTTGTTTGATTACTAACATACCTTATGACAACAAACCACCGACATCTTAACTTTATTCATTAATGCAATTGACTTACTTTGTCTTTGTCTAATAAATTAGATGTGTTCTATAGCATACACATATATTACAATTTTCCAACGTCAATTAACCCGGAAGAAAAACATTTGTCCATGTAATGTTTACTCTTCCAAACCGGGTAAAATGTATATACCACTTGATATTGAAATAATGTTAACGGAAGTTTAACTTAAGAGATGCTTTAAATGCTGAATGTATATTAGTTCACTATTATTTGTGCGGTGAATGGATGTACAGTTATTTGTTAACCGGTATACTGCAGCTTTTAATATTTTAACGTGACAGGTAAGACAACTTTCAACGTGATTATAGATTTTTGGATAGTTTTTGTCTTACGTTTTTTACCGACTGATGCACAAGTTTCCAGTACAGTTATTCTAGATCCAATATGATAAAATTCAATGTATTATACCAAACTAGGTAAATACTGAAGTAAGTTTTAATTTGGACTACAGCAGCATTATGTTATGTTTTTTTTGTATTGAATAAGGCTACGTTAAATGTATTTTAAAGTTATGTCCAATATAGAATCTAACTTGTTAACCTTCCGAGAACACAGGGATATCTGGAATGTAGGAATTTGTCAAAAGGCCTTGTTTTCGTTATATTTTTCTTCAAAATGATAGATACTACATTTTGATACGCGACTTTCTCTAATAAATGAGACCACACGAAAAGAATCAGGACTGGGGGAGGGCGCAAGGTTTTCAATACACTCTCACGTAGTGAATGTGCACAAACATACCAACAGTTTGCTTGAAAAAAAAAACGAGATATCAAATTTTGAACGCATTCAAGAATCATCATTGCAACCGAGATTTACAATACCAAAAAGTGGTCAAAGACAGTCAGAAGTCGCAATCCAATTTTATCCACGAATCATAAATCATAAATAATTTGCAAATACGAGGGTAATCTGATATGATCTTGAACTGCGTTTTATACGGAAATTGTCATAAACGTTTGTTTTTTTACGCAAAAAAAATATGTGCGGAAGTGTAAATCGAGAATATTTAGTTGTTTTGTGTAAATGTGCTATAATTTAACAGAAGAGAATTGCTGCAGTTTTACTTTTACTAAAATAAGTCACTTAAGTCAAAATCAATCAAATTTAATTTAATTTCATCAATATTTACCTGATTATCATGCTTCTTTCAACATCTTAAGATGTCACATATCTTAGGCTACCTTTAATCAAAATTGCATTTTTGATAAAAGAGTTTAATAATAAAAGAAGGCATAACTGTTTCGGTTTATTTTTTCTTTCATAAATTTATAAAAATCAGGAAGGGAATTCCATAACTTCTTACTCACACATCCACTACACAGAACAAGTGATTTTTTGATTATATTCTCTTAATTGGAGTTTCTGTTTCATAAAACAATGGTATTCCTGTGATATGATATCTTCTTTTTTTCCTATTAACATATAAGTGTTTAACTTCAAATTATTTATTTCAACATGTTACTTTGTATTTAGAGAATAATTGGCAACAGATTGTCGTGGAAATACAATACTAGCATAACGATTAAATGTAATAATTGTTTAATTGTTTAAAGAAAGTATCACTTGAAGTGTTTCCTGTTACAAGAACAGCATAACAAGTGTCGTTTAAATAAATGAAATTAGATTTGTGTTGTTGCAACTCTATTTCAGATAATTCAACGACTGAAAAATGGAGGTATCTGGCAAGAAACTTCGTAATTATTGCAAACCCTGTGAGCAACTTAAGACGTCAACATTCTCAGATGGTTTCTGTTCACAATGTGCAGAAGAAATGTGCCAAAGATGTTTTGATACTCACAAACAATTCAAGCTTAACCGGGGACATATACTTGTCCAATCAGTCGAGGCTAAATCAAAATGCAAAGAAACACCAACTTTCGATAATTGTACTAAACATCTCAACGAAGATATTAAGTTTTTCTGTCCCGAACATGACCAAGTAGGTTGCGGCGATTGTATGGTAATTTCCCATAAAACCTGTAAAGTGGAGTATATACTAGAACAAATCGATGGATATAAAGACAATGAAGAGTTCATAAAGTTGACGAAGGACATAGAGAAGTATGACAGTGAAGCAAAAACTATGTTAGGAAGCATCAGAAGCAACAAGGACCATGTAAAAGATATCAACAAAAAATTTGCTCTTGATGTCAACATATTCAGGGATGAAATGATTGCACATATCACGAAACTTTCTGATGCAATGCTAAAATATGGAGATGATATTATGGCAGCTGACATGAAAAAGATCGAAAACCTGGAAGAAGAAAACAAACGCCTTGTTGATGAAACAAATGGTATGAGAGACACATTACAATCAGAAGTTGATCAGCCTTACAAATTGTTCATCAGTTCCTTGTCATACAAACAAAATCTCCATCTCGTCCGAGACCAGCTAGAAAGAATCAAAGCGAACAATAAGATCGAAACGTACGACTTCATGCCTGACTGTAATCTCGAACAGTTGATGAAAACTTGTAAACAACTAGGAGTGATGCATAAGCCTAACGAATCTGGTGCAGGTTAGCTTCTAACTTTCGAAGTAATTTTTGATGATACATGTTTAAACAAGATAACCATTTTATACTAATAATGTGTGTCATATCAATAAAACGCCTTATATAAAACATGTTCTCAGAATTAACATTTGTTATATTCATTTATGGTTTATATAAAGGAATTATTTTAATGTTATACATGTTATACAGTAGCTTCTAATCCCGAGTGTTAATACACGTTCTTATAATTATTTTGTAAACTAATGTATTCATTTTGCTTCTCTTCTTATTTCATAAACAGCACTTAGAGAAAAAACAGTAAAAGCAAACAGAGCAACACCGATGACAAAGGATCAATGTTCACAAACAATTCAAGTGACAAAGGATCAATGTTCACAAACAAATCAAGTGAGTACCCTATATTATTTGAGTGTGTTGAAACTTTCATTTGTATTTTTTCCAAACGACTTATCCAATCATCACGAAATCAAAATATATTGTAAATGAAAAGAGTGTTTATATTATATAAATAATAATTACTAATTTCGCGTTATATTTTGTTTTCAGTCATTGCTGGACAGACAACTTGTTTGCAAAAACCTCATCATTGACGGAGACTTAATCAGGTGACATAAAACATCTAATTTCAAAGTAACTTAATATTTGTAATCTATATGCAATTATTTCAAAATAGAAATGTTTTACAAAACTTTGTTTAATTGAAGGAAATCTTTACCTGCTTTGATAAATCCGAATGATTTCTTTTCTTTTACAGTTGTGCTGTAAAAGCAAAAGACGACTGTGGTTTATTTATTGACAAATACACAGTTAGTTGTGATGATTTAGCTACCTTTGAAATCGAGATTGTGAGCATTGGTAGAGGCGGATATATAGGTAACAGTTTGCAACGTTCGATCAAATGTAGTTTAATAATTAGTTTTGTACCATAATACTGCTAAAGGAATTAAAGAAGAGTCGTCAAAATTTTCATTACCTTCAGATAGACTTTTGGGCATATCATGTTTATGATAAATACCAGTGATACCTTATCGTCAAGAACCAAAAACAAATGAATGCTATTTCAAAATATGTAACTATAATAGTAAATATATGAAGGAGTATTAAGTTAAATATTCATTTTCATATGTAAATACTTTCTGAAAATTAATTTATAATCTGCCATCAATACATAACTAGGAAATTTTGAAGAATATAAATATCTGGAGGCAAAGAGATTCCACGGAAATATTAGTCACGACAAATTTACAAGAGAGTTGCTATAGTTTGTTTTATTTTTATTAATAATATTTTTTCATTTTATCAGAGTATCAATAGCATTATTTTTCAAGGAACACCGTGGCTCTTTTTTATTACATAATTATTCAATTAGTCATAAATTACGTTAAATAAATGTGTCTTACAGTAAACGTAAACCATTTAAGATTTACTTGATTGATTAATTTATTTTTTTATTTATTATTTATTTATTTATATAAATTTATTGATTAAATAATTAATTAATATTATTTATATAATTAATAATTAATTATTATTAATTTATTCATTATGTACAAGTGTACACTTAATTTTTTTTATTTATTTATGTTGTTCTAATTCAAAGTTTAATACTTATCAAATTGGATAACTCTTCATTGACTTTTACAATAAAATAATACATATAATATAATTTCATTCTAGCTATCGGTGTGGTACCGGATGACTATCCAAATAATCTTCTACCTGGATTTGGAAAAGATTCCCGTGGATACAATTCAGATGGCAAGTATGTGTTTATTGTTTTTCTGTTAGAACATACTCTTACCTTCGCTTTTAAATATGTATGTGATTGAATAGAATAGAAAATTAAATAAATTTATAACTAAGCCAAGTTCTGTCTAGACCCCAATGCTTCCAAATCTGTAAAACAAGGTCAATTAAATACATGTTTTATTACTTGCGCCGTTTTCATATTGTCAGTCTTTTATGCATATACACAGACGGAAATGCAATGCATTGATAGGGTTGACGTGATTCCATCAGACATATAGAAGACCTTTTGAATGATAGAAATCATGTCTAAAATTTTTGTTTCGTTTCTTGATATTCTAATTAGAGTTTGTTTATAGTGGTTGGCAAAAGGTTTGCCAAATAAAAACATGTTCATGTATTAAAAGTATAGCATGTCATATAGTATTTAATTAAATGATTTATTTATAAATATTTCACAGGAGATGCACCCAAGTTCCGAACAATAAATGAATATTATTTTATTTTACTATTTTGTTTTTATAAAGACGACATTTACTTGAATGTGGTACATTCAGTGAATAATATCGCTCGATCATATTGTTATGTTCATGTGATTTTATAAACATTAAGTTGTGGAAATTTTGCAAATCATTTTATCAACGTATGCACATTTCACATGAAATTTTACAATTCCATATGATCAGATGTTTGTTTTAAATATTAAATTTTGCCTATCATATAAAATATGTTTGAGTACGGTAACATTTAAGCGGTATTTCTGTCTGACTCAAATAATGTTCTTCAAATGGAAATCAGTATGATTGTAAAACTATCATCTTCATCAAATATTTTATTGATATAAAATATTTATTTAAGTGAAGTTCTGCTGATACATAACATGTAAGTTCATGCAAATAATTTGAATATAGTAATAGTTTTAATGAACTCTTTTAATAATTATTTACTCGTAACAATATCATTAACCATAATGTGAACAAATAATTTAGCTGTTTGTCTTTCTTATTCAAAGTCTGTAACTAAAATGAAATTCTTACTTAATCAGCGATTTCACATCACATGCCGAAATGTCTTTTTTAAGGACATGCTGTACCTTCAAATTGGCAAGCAAAATAAAAATATAGAAGAATTAAAATATTTCAATCTTTGCAAAGATTTGTTATAATTATTCAAATTTTCTAGTTTGTTACTGTCTATTTTGTGTAATATTCAGTTCCTCTTGGTTATTTAAATGAAAATGAGAATGTCTTTTAATTTATTGAAATTGGGCACCTTTAAATTACAGTCAAACTCTAGATATTCATTTGCATGTTGAAGAATTGTTGTCTGCTGGTTGGTTCATGACCAGATGGTAAATAATAGTTTGTCAGGTTTGTTTCCAACTCAGGGCTTAACTATTACACCAGATATATATCCTAGTTATATACATTGATTTTCCCACATGTGAAATACATTATGTGGACAATGTTTCTCGACCACTCGCTAATGTTTTACAAAGAGGAATATGCAATGAATGCTTGTACACAATAATCATTCATCATTTGTCAATTCTATAATAGACTCAAGTCATTCACTATGGTATAAAATAGTGTTTTTTCATTTATTTAATAATTGTCGGCAATGAATTACAAATATGTTCTATGAATATCCTGTTCCGTCATCCTCCAGATTATATAACGAACGAACGTTTTGCAAAGCGTTTAGTAAACGGACATTTTTTAACTAAAACGTTTTAAAGAAATTTCAAATACCATTCAAAAAAGTCGCATTTAATGTTTTCGACACCCTGTACACTTTATAGGTAGATTTGCTGTATTAATTAACTTGTTTTTAATTGAAGGTTTGAGACATTTACCAAGTCAAGTTATATGATATATCAAAATTACCTTAATTGACATTTTATTTTTCAAATTGTTTAAAGATTTTCGGTCTATGAAGCCTAAGCGATCATCATTTCCTTTGAAATTTGGGTCTTCCTGTGCAAGCCCAAATCGAAAATTTTACGAACATTTCTTGTCCAATATTCTGTCTGTCTTACATGGGAAAATGCCTTCTGCAAATTGTTCATTGTTGTTTTAAAAAAACCCGGTATTTGAGGTTCTGTTTTCACCGGATAATTCCCCCTTTTGGGTTTCTATCAACCATTTATAAGCGTTTACTGTGATGATTTGTACGGATTAAAATTACATAACTTAAATATTATTACGGATTTTGCTTGTCTTTAAAACGCCATTTCTTGGGCTTAGAAACACTGGGTAACACCGCACTATCACTCTGAACCCACTGTTTTTTTTTTTAATAAAATTGCCCAAATTTTAATTACAATTTTTTGAATTATAATAGCATCATTCGAATGAATCAGAATGAGGCTTTTAGTTTGCGCTTTTTCATGTTTATTTTATTCTTGACTTGGATTTTAATTTAACTTTTAAAAAAACTGTCCCAGAATCTGCGTGCGGCCGCATATGTATTACTTAGTTACAGAATCGCATGACAAAGTTTGTACATTATACCAAATATATTTATAGTTATATATATTCTTAAAAATTTACGTTCCGTTTTTAATGTATGGTTTAGATATTTAATTTAAACTACACATGGTAATTTCAAAAGTTTTATAATCACTCTGGATCATCCTCGTTTACCCTTTGATTCAAGGCTATTTTCATTATTCTTTCGAAAACAAACTTGAAATTGGGAAAAAGTATTTTCTAGTTTGGTAAACTAAACTATAAAAACGATATTAACGTAACACATTTTGTGATAAGGGATTTATTAATTTTACACAAATTTACTATTTTGTCAATTATTAATGATAATAATTTACAGGTCATTGTTAAATCCATATACACATTTTATAGTTTGATGTATCTTAAATAGTGATAACGTACACATCTTTGAAAAAAAGTATATAAACAAGTTTTATAGTTTGATATATTTTAAATAATAATAGCGTTCTATTCGGTGTTAAGACCATGTCTATTTAAATAAATAAAACATTTGGATATTCACTTGTTTAGACTGTTTAAACCAAGCTCCGAGACAGTTGAAGGAAAGCTATTGTAACGTGATAGAATATTTACAAAAAAACATAAGGTAGTACTTGTTTGCACACTACATCAACAAAAAACAACAATAACGGATATATGCAAACAGAAACTTCGCATTATTTATGTTTTGTTGTAACTAAGAATATATTTCCCACCAAAACAGACGAAGCTATCAGTTGAATCTGAATAATTAAACCCATTAGATCTCAGTAAAAAAACCAACTTAATTTTAGTGTCTTATCCTTCTACAAACGTTTTCTGATATAACAAATGTTGTATTTTTTCCTTTTGTATTTTGAAAATGTTGTTCTTGTTTTTCCTCTTTTATTTACTGTGAATTATTACCAAAGTTCGAAGTAGTGAAATATATCAAACACATACTTTACTGTTATATTAATATTAATCAATATAACGCATTTATAAATAAGAAGCGTTTGTATGATGGCTATTTTTGTAGATCCAAAAACTTTGTTCTGCCATCAAGCGACATGGAAACATGTACCTTACTATTGAATCCTCCCATATCAACAGTTTCATCTTTTGTTTCAATCAGTGTACACGATCTGTACATTTGAAAAGAATGTGTGCTATTTCACAATGAATGTGCCTGTCAATCATTTTCATTATAAATGTTTACCATTCTTTCAAAATATGTCCTTTATATGTGCTCCACTGTTTAAAAGAAACTATACAATTGTCGAGTTGTGTCATTGTTTGTTCGGGCTTACAGATGCAAAGTCTGTATTTGACCCAATATACGTTTGTACACCTTTATACTAGTCCAATTGTGGCTAGTATTGTATTCAGTAATGTATACAATAAAACCATTAGAGTAAATGACTAATAGCAAGATTTTGTGTCTACATTAAATTGCATTTTCTGCATCGTTTAAAATTTCAAATTTGTTCAAATTATAGCCCTTGGTTGATTTTTTCATTAGATAGGAAATACTCCAAGAATCTTCTTCTTGATAACTGCAAGGGCTAAATCCCACGCTTTTTAACATGAACCGTAGTCAGATCCCCCCCCCCCATTTCTCTTAATTTCAACGAAAATTAGTATTTACACGATATCAGATATAATAATTCGATAAATCCAATTGTATGAATTACAGACAACTACAACATGTTTGAAGAAGTTCATAGATTTATAAAACAGCCCTTTCATTATCTGAAACACGATAACTTCTAATAGCACAATCTCCAAATAGATAAATGTTCATTAATTGATGGCAAATCATTAAACTGAAATAAACAAAGAAATGAGTTTTTAAAACTTTAACTAAGAAATGAGCTATTAAAACTTTAACTCAACATTTCAGTTACTTTTGGTAAAGGACTGTAATCTCGATATACAGAATTATTTAGAGCTATTCATATGTTCACGTAAATATGATCTTGATTATATATTTTGCTTAAAGATAATGTAGCGGTTTTCTGTTAAACAACGTTTTCAAAAAGGACTTCTTACTGCTACAAATATCTCAATAAATTATGTTTTATATACCATATAGATGCTACACTGTACCATGTAAATTATGAATTGCATACACGCAATTACTTTTTTGAATTACAAAACTTTTCAAATGAATAAGGGATTTCATAGCTGTAGCTGCTAAATCTAGCAATATTAAAGAAGCTATGTCTATGCAATATTATAAACGGAAGCTTTACGATGATAAGTAATATTAAAGGAACTCGACTTAAATTGTTTGACATGAATTGGATTGTTCGATAATAGTTTTAAGTAGGTTTACGTAATTAAATTGTTTGCAAAATTGCAAATAGTTTCCTTGCTCCCTTTTTTCAAGAATGTAAATTCGTATTATAAACATGGCCCACGACTGAAAAGCGTTGCAATTCTTCTCACTTAAATTGGTTTTTAAATACCTCACAAATACGATTTTTAATTTATTTCTGAGAATTTATCTAAATTGTTTTGCATATATATTTCTGTATTGAGTGTCCAAGCTGATCTATGTAAGACCTCGATGGAATTCCTGTAATATGAATAAAGATAAATATTACATGCACGAAACGTTTTATTTTACTATCCACTTTTAAAGATGGTAAATATATTCACTAGTTAGATTATATTATACCAGGCCTTGTATTGTGTATGTTTGTTGCATTTTTAGTACGTGTCATAAGATGTCCATAATTATCTTCATTAAGGATGTATTTTTTTTAGATATTTATTTTTTAATGTCACATCATACTTAACGTGTCAAACTGGTGTTTTTATCAAAACCATGTTATTATGTTATGGCGTCTGTAATAACAAAAGCAAAAACAATATCTGAAATGAGAAGAATATTTATCCACGATTAAATGTGTATGTTATTTAACAAGAACGAATAACATAATTCTTACATTATTGTTGAGCATCCACTCATATACATACAACTTGAACATAATATACAAAGTATGATCATAAATTGATTGTAGTTTTGTCAAAATTTATTCACTGTGAATAGAGTTATTTGTTTCATTTCCTAGACAATCCTAGTTATTTTGTTGTTGTTTTTTTCTTGGCACACACAATAATGAGCTTAATTGACAAATAGCATCACAGTGATCTAACTACTAACAACAATGTATTTTAATTCAGTATCAATGTAAAGTATTATGAAAAAAAACAAACTAAAAACTACAAAAAAACTTTTATGTTATAAAAGCACTGCTTAGAGATAAGAGTCCTATTTTTGACAAACTTTATTCTCAAACATGTTATCTAAAATGTATTTTAAGGGTGTTCATGGGAAGTAAATCCGGTGAAAAATATGGAAACAAGTGGAAAGTCGGCGATCGAATCGAAGTTCAAATGTAAGTATTAAGTAGTGTTTGCGATGTTCGTTTGTAATTATTTGTTTCATAAAGATTTACAAAGACGATTCATTTTGTAAATATTACATAAAACATTGCCGTTAAACGTTTGATATAAAACTTAATAATTAAGGTATGACATGCAATTTCTGATATTCAAGCAGTTGACATAATTGATCCATATTTTATATTTGTTTATATTCTTGTCAAATACGGATATACCATCAATCTACATTCCAATGGTTAATTTAAAGATATGTTTAACACTTTATCACTTTAAAAAAAATCTAAAGGTGATACAACATTTATACAAAGTAAAAATGTTATTATGATTTTCCCGAAAGTAAAATGTGTGTTACATTGAAAACACACATTATTCAATTTTTACCGTATTGTATTGAATGTACCGTTTCAAAATCGGTAATTTAAAACATGCAACATCATGCTTCAAAATTAAGCAAAAACAGTTTTAAAATTATTTAAGTATTTCCATCAAATTCAAATAAGTTCTTTATTTTACCGTGTGTATACCGTTCGTATACGCTAGTCCAATCAGTAGCTAAGTAGCAGAAACCACTATTTGTTGGTGTTAGTGTTTTATACAGAATAATAATGCTTATTTTATCACATAGTTATAACTATAAAATAATTACCCAATCTTCATAGATGCTTCATACGTGCAAGCTTGCTGAGCTGGTATTTAAAATCCGATGGTTTCTTCAGTTGTTATGTCACGAATAAAATTGCTATTCTTGCATACAAATAGAACTCTGGTTCTGAAAATACGCAGTAAAGTCCTCTTTTTTCGTCTACAAAAACTGATATACATTTCCCGTGCGAGTACCATATCATTTGATACTTTAATTGATAATCAATCACCATTTTAGCCAGCTTTTCAAGCATGGTGCCCCGTGACGCATCTATTAAAAACATAAAACATCAGTGAGTGCTCGCGTGATGGTATGCGGTTATGCATTTATTGTTCTCCGTTTATCTATACCTGCAAAGGCTGTGTGACGTCATGTGAGTTTGCGACCAGCATGGATCCAGACCAGCCTGCGCCTCCATGCAGTCTGAATAGGATCCATGCTGTTCGCTATCTGTTTCTCTACGTGTAATAGACTTGGTAAGCGAACAGCATGTATCCTGATCAGACTGCGCGGTTCTGGATCCATGCTGGTTGAAAACCCATTATGTTGGATGTGTCATGACGAAGCTCATTTATATCAGTTCTAATTCACGTATTTCAATTTTGATGAACTGTGTATGTGCATAATGATCGTGTAAAAGCTTAACCAGAGAGTTCAGTTTTAGCTAAGCGGATTTTATTTTGATTTGAGTAACTATGTAATAAATTATGTAACAACACAACAAATGTTTGTTAACTCTACCGTTTTACCACAAATTAACGTTCACTTTAACGTTCCGTTTTTCGGCTGCATCTGTCTTACAATTTAATCGAAGATTAAACCTCCATTAAAATTTTACAAAGGGATCATTGAAACGGTTTTGTAGAAATATTTATTTTATGCAGTGACAGTCATATGGATTGAACTCAAAGTATCAATATGGATGAAGAGTAGATTACATGTAGCTATAAAGATTTATTATATTACATGGCGTCGTTTTAATTGTTGAAATGTATTTAAAATATTACAAAACTTTTCTTTTTTTGTGTGTGGGGGGGGGCGATTTGTTCCGGTAAAAAAAAAAACAATGGTATATAAAACGAATGAAAGAGGGTATTTTAATTGTACGTGTGTGTTAAAACATTTACTGTGAATGTTGTTCTGTAAAACATATTGCATTACTCTTTTCTAACTGTAAATGAGTATTGTGAGATATCGTATAAAAATATTCAAAACGCGAACAGAATATATTAATATTATTTGTTTTCCGTTTTTTTTAATTCATTCTTCATATACATATAACATTTATTTGTTTCTGACAGATCTCCAACAATTTTCATTACAAGATGTCCTCAATCAACTCACAATGCAAATACTCATTGGTCAAAGTTCGTTACTGTAAAATACGTTATGCTCTATGTAATTTGGAGGGAATTTGTTTTACTAAATAAACAAAGAGAATAATTTTTTTAGTATGTTCAGCAGGTAGCATATAATTACACGTTTCCAGCAACATGTATGTCAAAAGGTATATGCTTAAAAAACACAATCAGGTCTTTTTAAGCCACCCCTTTTTAGGTTTGACCACCTTTCAATACACGCTTGCCATGTCCATTGACCGTATCTCGGAGTTTATTGTTTTTTTTTTAATTCCAGGTTTCCAAGAATGTGTCACTTGCAAGTTTTAAGAAATAAATATCCAGTTCAAAAGCATATGAATATAATCTCAAAGTCCAATAGACCTAATAAAAAAAGAGCAAAGCATTTGAAGATAAATCATTCATTGTTTTACTAAAATGCACACATAATGAATATCGTTTTTCAATCTAACATACTTATAAGACAGAGAAATGATTAAATATGTTTCCCTCAATTAGAGACAATAAGATTAGTTGTTATTTTCCTGACATTTTTTCGTTTATTGATATCATACATGACTTCATTTGAGTGTACGCATTCTTTTTTATACCGTTTACTAATAAGACCCTGTTATACACGTAAAAAAACAACACCAACACTTAATAGATATACTAAGCAAGATTTCGTCCAGCAGTAAGCAGAATTTAAGAATTTTACATATTAACATATAAAACTCATATATTGATATGATATGTTAAAGCTATCATTAAGATCACATGATAGCTATATATCTTAAAACAATTCACTTCGCTATTACCTATCATCTAATACTAGGTTCTCAAGCATTTAAAAGTTTTCTCAAGTAGTAAATATCACGGTTTCTTTTCTGCTCCATGCTTATCTTTCCACATTTTTATAACAAAATTTTAAGGTAATAAATGAGCCGCGTCATGACAAAACCAACATAGTGGATTTGCGACCAGCATGGATCCAGATCAGCCTGCACCTCAGCGCAGTCTGATCAGGATCCATGCTGTTCGCTATCAGTTTCTCTACTTGTAATAGGGTTTGTAAGCGAACAGCATGGATCCTGCAGACGCACTATGATGGTTTTGTCATGACACGGCTCAAATGTATTGTTATTCTTAAATCATTATTGTTCTATAAGACATTACCACTTAACAAAATTTATGAGTTCAATACAGAAAGGTTTTAAGTCGTAATTAGAACTTGACTGAGTGTACAGATTGGTAATTATTTACATAACTCATTATATTAAAACGCACACACTTGAAAAACTGTAGTAAATTGTTAGCCGATAAATTAGTTCTCATGAACAGAAATTGATATTCGCAGAACATTTGCAGCTATTTTATTAATACTTAAAACGGTAGTAAGGGTATCTCATTTCTATCAGTCTTTCACGTGTTATAATTATCTTATCTTTTATTCTTTCTACATGAAATGTGTGAAGAAAGCCAACTTCGTTGTGTGGAGAATCGTTTGATAATCCCGATGGTTTCTGCAGTTATTATATTATTACGAATGAAACACGCATTAGCGCTATTCTTGCATGCAAATTCAACTCTGGCTCGGAAAATTTTAATTAAGCACTTTTGTATTTATTTATTTTTTTTTTTCGTTTACAAAACTGGATTATTTTTTCCTGTGGAAGTTGAATGTAATTTGATAGTTTTAATTTGATAGTTTATAACCGGGACAATCACTCTAGCTTCCTATTAAAAGCGTTAAATATCAGGCCTCCTCACGTGATTTTATGTGGTAATACCTTAATTTTGCCCCATATATTTATACTTGCTTTAGTTGTACTACCTCTCTGACTTTTACACGCACTGATTTAAGGTATTAGCACCCTAATGCATTACCTCCGCTTTGAAGAGTATTCAAATAGGCTATAAGTACTGTTAACTACATTGAAAATGAGGGCAATGGGTTCAATCCCCAGAAGGGTCAACTTTTTTTTTTTCTTTTTTTCTTTTAACATTATTTATGTATCTCTCATGTCCCATTTGGAAAGAAAAAAGTGTTTTATTTTTATTTTTTTTATTTTTTAGGTATTTATTGGCTAAATTATGCTAAATCTAGTAATAAATATGGTACCTGATATTTTCAAAGTGTAATATAATCAAAACTAGACGGTAAAAGTATTTCATATTTTACAAGATCAACCAATATACTTTTTTTAATAATTTAGGGAAACTTTGAAAACAGGCACTCACTCGGGTAAATTTTAAGAATTTTTTAAATTAGGCTCCCTAAGTAGAAAAATGGTCAGACACGTGGTAAAAATGTGTGGGGTAGGGTAACATTTTTATACAGATTTCATAAATTTTAAGTAGAAACCATATTTTGCTTAAATTATTTGGATTGTTAGCTGAATGGTACTATTTGTTTCTTACCAAAAATTAATGGGAAAACATTTTTCATTAGAATGTTATTGCAGATTATTTAAAGGTTTCTACTTTCTAAAAAAGGGCCCTGATAACATCCTAGCTTGAGTTCAGAAACGTGGCCATAACTTGATTTCCGTACGGTAAACTTTAAGGTATACATCTGACCTATGATGTCAATTTTTTAGTTCCTGATAGTACCCATTAGGGTCCTTATATCTTAAGTTGTCATAAAAGGTAATAGTTAATAAGCTATTTTTAAAGAACAATCTCAATAGTAAGTAGTGTTGCCAACAACGTGTTGCTACAGTAATTACAAAGTAGTATATCGAGATGATGGGTGTAACCTTGCTCACGGTAACTGAATTAAATTGAAGAAAGGAACACAATTTCAATAGAATCGTGCTTAAGAATACCTATTATATTTTCCAGAATATGATATGTTGAACTACTGATAGTCCTGAAGTCTTAAAAGAAATAAAACAGTTGGTAAATTAGTTCAGAATTATTAAATATGAAGGCATTTCTCTGCACTGTTCTGTTGTACAAAGTTGAGCCACCATATTGAGTAAAATAGCCTTGAGTAGAATTATGTCGATGCAAATCACACGTATCTTGTCTAATACTATTAACCGTATGTAGATTGTATTGCATGTCTGTTGTTTATTATACGTATAGATCTTCTTAAGATTATGTTCAATTACATATGCGCTATTTATACATGTTATGATTCGCCAAACTAATTATTTTTACTATTTACCCCATTGACGGTATCAAATTGAAATTCACTTATTTCATGATCGATGTGTTTGAATAAAAACAATAACTGTAATTAGATAATTATTCTTATCATTCTTTATTTTGTTTATTTTCAGTTACGATCTGTAAGTTTAATTGCAACATTTATTCTACTTCAAACAACAAATCAAAAAGATGACTCTTAAATGTCTTTTGTGATTAATGCTTCCGAGATATCACTTTGTTTTCAGATTTTTATACTTCACAACCGCAGGTGTCAAGTGGGCTGTGTGGCAACTGTAAACAGTTGTCCCGTACTTCACTTCAGTGTTGTTATATTTTTCTTGTCCTTCGGGATCATTGATGCCAGCACTAGTAAGTTTTGAGAATTGAGTACCGCTTCAGTCGGTGCTAGGCGGCGTGAGGCATGTTGCACGTTTCAAGTATCCCTCGTGTCAAGCCGAGTCTGCAATTCTCCTGTAATATTGTTGTGATTAATGCTTCCGAGGGATCACTTTGTTTCCAGATGTATGTATCATAACATTAATGATACAATTTACTAGGCACATGGTCATGAGATTTTAGGGTTATGTAGTTTGTTTAACATTATGAATACTACTTGATTTAAACATTTTAAAAAATGTTTAATGGCGATGTCTTTTAAATACATATATAATTACAGACGTATAGCATTGAGTTATTTGATATTCAGATACCATTTATTTGACCCCATATCGCTTTGTCGGAAGATACGATTCGTTGAAACGAAAACACACAACATAAAGAATACAAGCAACATAATAGTTAATATTTACAATCAGTAGCAGATGTCAATCATGATATGGTTGTTTTTGAATAAATTGTAACTGTACGTTATGTTAAACATTATGTATCGTTTTATCAATGGTATCAACATTTGACAGAAAACATTAAGATCAACAGTTTTAAATATTATATATATGCTGATAATTGTGTGTAATTCAAACACACAAAAGCTGTTCATTAAATTAAAAAAGCCATGTTTGATTGTGCTACAACATTATATATATTGACTTTTTGTTGTTGTTTCAAAATTGTGTAGGACCAACACTCTTTATCATCTTTTTATCTTCATCTTAAAGGGACTCCACTGACTCCACTGAAGTTTAAAAGCCAGAAACATAAGTTTGATTTTCTTACATGAATGAGCTTGGGCAGTTTAAACAGAAATTTATACAAAAATAGTTACGAAATATACTTTTTAGTTTGATATAAGTGTGAACAGCCTTTAAACACTTTCATTTTGGGTTATTTTTTTACGATTTGAATGAATATTCTGGAAAACGAAGTGCGCCAACGAACTGAACTTTGCCACACAGATTAGTGGTGTAAACCTACATCAGATTGTACATTAGTAGTATAGTCGTTACTTTAGCCCCACGAGGCTGTGACGGCCGTGTTGACAATATTACATAATACGTCATTAATCTTAAAGGTATTACATTATTGCCCTTATTAAAGATTAAGGAGTATGCAGTGTCCTGACAGTTTTACAGAATTCAATTGACAATATTACATCATGTATGTGACATGTCATATCAAAAATATTACGATTAGGTGTGGTTATACTGAACAGATTAAACATTTGGATGCATTAAGTAAAAGGTCGTTTATTTCCTTTTTACTTCCGTTTCCTGGTAATTCATATTTAAATGCTTAGGAAGAGCTAATAATTACAGTTCACTTTCAACCTGCTCAGTGTTTGTATCACACTTTGGTGAAATAATGAACTCTAGTAACCGATGTAAATTGCATGTGTTTTGCGATGTTTATGTGACTATAAGTGACTACAAAAATATCACATACGTACATATGAGGTACTACGACGGAAAATACCCCACGAAAAAGGGTGTTGCTATGCCACTATTACGTTGGAAAACATTGGTGCAACTGATACCGAAAATACAGGAAAATCGCAATGCCGATCAATCTGCTTTTGAACATTTAGGAGGTAATTGTTATATTAGCATTACGGATGATATACCTGGTATCGACATAAGAGACTTCTGGATGCCCGAGGGAGAATTGAAAATTAAAGCAACAAAACGGGGAGTGCATTTTAGTCAAGAGGATTTTGATAAACTTGTTGATCTGATCCCACGCATTAACGGTTATATACCCGAGTTTGATGAAATCAAATTGTATGTCGAGAATGACGACCATCAAAACCAGCAGGGAGCCCTACGATGTAAAGAATGTAATCCGAACGAATATCACATGTGGTGAATACACAGAGACACTTTATATTAACATATCATAAGAACTTTGTAATATAAGTGATTATATTTTGTTTTATTGTTAAACGATAAATGTAAAAAATGAAATAAATATACGAAATGTCTATGTGTTGTTAGTGTTCAATAACGTGTGTCCATCATCATCATCACCTATAAGATCTGTAAATAGATATGAAATTAATAAATGATACACCATAAAAACAATTCACTTATGTATATATCATTATGTTACTAATAAATGAGATATTGTACAGTGGAACCTCTATTAACGATTCTTTCATATATTAAGTATCTGAAACAATAAAACTACTTTAGAAATTGATGCTTTCTGACAGAAATAACTCTTTTTTAGGAAATATATTTTAACTGTTGTACATGTGATTAGTTTACTTACCTGTACAATAGGCCGACCTGTAGAATTGACACATATTCTGTATTTAGCAGTGTAGTCCAGGTCTTTGTAAATTGCATGAATATGATAATTGGCTATTGAGGCCGTCGCAAGCGTGACCGCATAAAAAATGTCACCATGGTCCTCGTTTTCATTTGCTGAACAAAAAACCCCAGGAAATGTCCAAATTCATGCACAAATGCACCCAGACATTCCTCTAGGTACTTCATTGAATGTAAGTTGATGACGATTTCGCAGAAGTCTTCGTTTAGTTTCTCTGTCGAAGCATATTCTTCAGAATTATTTGAATCATTGACAAAAATGATTTTTATACACTTAAACTTTGTTTGGCACAAACCAAAATGATACAAAAAATATTTTAGCAGTTTGTCTATGGAATAAACTATAAGAGGTATATTGAAATCCGACCAACTTGTATATAAGTCGTCCACTTCTGTTGCAGACACATCTGCACAAAATGTCGTCACAACAGCATTTGTATCATATTCGACGTAAGAAAATTGTCCCCGACTTTCTAATATTTTTGTATTATTCTCTTCTTTGATGTGATAATAAATTTTTAAGTCCTTTAATGTGTTATCACCTTCTCCCAGATTAGACAATTCGTCGACAGCCATTCCTATTGTCAGACGAATATCTGTATTGAAGTATGGCTCTATAAAAACAAACGAAAATATATATTAAAATTATGAATCAAATTAAAACGTTTACATGCGCTATTACCTCAAACACTTCAGTTTTTCAAACGATATAACCAAAAGCACTTAAATAAATGAGTTAAAGAAAGTAAAGATTGATTTATCATGAAAACACAAATTATTCAATTAAACGGTATATAGAGAGCGGTTTTAAACAGTAAAAGTATTTACCAATGCGAGACGTATTACTGCTAGTGTAATATCTGTTTTCAGAATTTTCGACTTCACGGCTCTGACCTGAATGAAAATAAAACAGACCTGTAAAGTTTTCATTAATTTATTTAAAAACTGTATAAAGCACATTTCCTTACATTGAAAACAAGACGTATGCGGATACAATACATTTATAAATACTAAATATTCAATTTCGAATTATTGTTATGTTTACACAATGACGAAAAACATTGAAGACGACAAACATTTTATAATATCCTCACGTGTAACTTTTAAAGTATTATATATACTTTAAAAGACGCATCACTAAACAAGTAACACAAGAAAAAAGCTCTTTTCTTAAAAATTGGATTGATAATAAAGAAATTATAAAAATCATAATATTACAATACTATTCATATAAATAATTTGCATATTGTGTCTCTTATTTTAGACAATAATATCCTTTGCTTTAAAAAACAAAATACAATGCTACTTACCCATTGCAATCATGTTTTAAAATGTATTCTTCTGATTCGAGAAGGCGTTTGATAATTTTCGCTAATTCGGACTTTTCATTCTGTACTAATTTTCTAGACGAACTTCCGTATATTATATCACTTCCGTATTCAATTTCGCCTATATATTAAGTTATAGATCTTGTTAAGGTATCACTTGTCAGCTACTAAGCCAGTGGACACTGAGATTCTGGTAAGTTGATATTTTCTATTTATTTTAATTTATTTCGTTACTGTTCTGGAAATGTGTGTACTTCGTTTAAATGTTATTTATTTTTTATTTATAAATTGCAGACGGATGCAAAGATTTTATAGCATATTAGGAAATTATAGTGTACTTAAACCTATCTGCAAGAGTCTCTTATTGTGTCGTTGACCGGTCAAAAATAATATAGAAGTGATAGGTTATTGTTATATTAGTAAAAGTTCGTGTGGCACCGCCTTCTGAGAGTCTGCGAGTGTCTCTGAATGTGTCGCAGACCGGTCAAAAATAGTATAGAACTAATACATGTTATAATAGGAGTCAAACTTCGTATGGCACCGCCTCCTGATAGTCTGCGAGTGTCTCTAAATGTGTCGCAGACCGGTCAAAAATAGCATAGAACTAATATGTGTTATAATAGGACTAAAACTTCGTATGGCACCGCCTCCTGATAGTCTGTGAGTGTCTCTAAATGTGCCGCAGACCGGTTAAAATAGTATAAAACTGATAGGTCATTGTTACAGGTGTAAAACCTTGTGTGGCACCGCCTCCTGATAGTCTGCGAGTGTCTCTAAATGTGTCGCAGGCCGGTCAAAATAGCATAGAACTGATAGGTCATTGTTATAGGAGTAAAACTTCGTGTGGCACCGCCTCCTGATAGTCTGCGAGTGTCTCTGAATGTGTTGCAGACCGGCCAAAATAGCATAAAACTGATAGGTCATTGTTATATTAGTAAAACTTCGTGTGGCACCGCCTCCTGATAGTCTGCGAGTGTCTCTAAATGTGTCGCAGACCGGTCAAAATAGCATAGAACTGATAGGTTATTGTTATATTAGTAAACGTTCGTGTGGCACCGCCTCCTGATAGTCTGCGAGTGTCTCTGAATGTGTCGCAAACCGGTCAAAAATAGCATAGAACTAATATGTGTTATAATAGGACTAAAACTTCGTATTGCACCGCCTCCTGATAGTCTGCGAGTGTCTATAAATGTGTCGCAGACCGGTCAAATATAGTCTAGAGCTGATAAGGGTTGTTATAAGAATAAAAATATTATTTTGACGTACCCTTTTCGAGTGCTTCCGGAAGTGTTGTAGACAGGCGAGAGTAGTTTGGATTGTACAACTTAAAAAGCCCCTTTGGCACTTCCTTGTTTTCAAAGGTTACTTCCGTGTATTATGTCACTTCCGTGTTAATTTTCTCGATATATATGTATCAAATTTAATTTTACTCTGCATTTTATCTGGACAGTGATGTGAAGATCATGAGACATCAGGTAAGATTTTAAACTTTAATGGTTATTTTTTTTATTCACTTAATTTTATAAACTTTATAACATGTTAAACTTTATATTTAAAGATACTACTGATATTTCGAAAATGCACATATGATATAGCTTTTAAAGCTTAAAAATATGTGTTATTGCAATAAAAGCGGTGAAATGTTAAATGCTTACAGACCAGATGAAATGGTTTGAATCCTATAACTGATGTCAATGATGGAAACACTCTTCAGACACCCCCCCCCTTTTTTTTTTTGGAGCGTTTCTAATTTTGGTGTTCTTTTCTTTATTTCAGATATAAAAATTCCAAGAGAGACAGTCAAGTTACAGAACTTAACTTAGCTACGATTCCGTGTGTCTGTCGTGAAGAATACTGAAGAATAAAAATTTCAGACTTCCTGATGTAGTTCATTCTGATGAACAACGACATGGAAAGCATTTATAAAACATTTGAAGTTTTGATAAATTCTTTTACAAATGCTGATGAATTACATAACTTTGTGACAACTTTAGGACTACAGGATATTCCGTCAGCAAGATTTCGATTGTTCCAGTTGAGAAATCCCGAGTACGATGAGAACTTTGTAAACGAAGAGTTAAGTAGTATTTTTCAACATTTAGAAGGAACTGCTGAACATAACAACGTTGACTTGGAGTTGGCCCTTGAGTATGTAAAAGAGCAAGAAGGCTTTGAAAAATTAGTTAAGTCACCATCATGTTTCGACAAAGAAACGAATGAAATGGCAATGGCATCTACTGAAACTGACAAGTGGGAACCCTCAGTACAAGTAGGGTCTGGGGAAGAACCGCAACCGGGTCCGTCGTATAGATCCAGTCCCCACCCTGCTCTTCAATATACAATTAGAAAAAAATCGGAAAAAACATATGCCAAATATGCGGCAGTGGATCGAACTTATCAGGTAAAATTAAACGCCCAGCATAAAGGACAAAAGTTACAAGATACACGACAAGGACTCTACCAGATGTTTGACGAAGTGTTGGACCACGCCCGGGGAAATTTGAAGGGAAACGATTTAGGAAGAGTTGTCTTACATCACGAATCACTTAACAATTCGATTATTGTCCCTCTACAATCCTGGGATCAGCTTAATGCTAACACAGTGATGGAGACAGTAGAGAAAGAACTGAACAGCAATGAAGCTTTAGCAATTGATGAAAGCTTTGATATTTCAGTTGGTTCCATTGATTTACCAAAAGGAAGTGGGAGTTCACGTCTCAGAATTACCAAACTTACAGGAAAGAACAATTCCCTCGTGTTAAAGAAATCCATTGTTACAATCGAAAATAAAGACATGTTATGTATGTCTAGAGCAATTGCTGTTAGCTGGGCGAAACTGAAAATATGTAGTCCGGACGAATGGAAAGAGATAGCTAAAAACAGACAAAAGAAGAGCAATTTACAACTTATTTTACAACACCGAAAAGTTCCAGACAGTTATTTGAAGAAACGTAGGGAGAAAAAAAGAGATGAACAACGACAATTAGCTGTGGCTATTAGCCAGTTGGCTGGAATAGCCTTAGACAGACCAGCGAGTTTAAATGATGTAATGGCTTTTGAAGAAGTACTGAGGGTGCGTGTAATGGTGATCAGTGCAAGGCTTGGCAACAAGTTTATTACAAGTCCAAGTACCGACGAACGACCATGCATTTACATTTATTTAATGAACGACAACCATTTTCACGCCATTACATCAATTACAGGTTTCTTTTGCGCCAACTACTTTTGCAACCGCTGCCTCAAACATTACGACCATAAAGAAAGACATGGATGTAAAACGCATTGTATAATATGCAAAAGTGATGGATGCGTAATAACAGAAACATCCGTAGTCTGCACTAACTGTAATATGAGCTGTAGATCTCCAGATTGCTATAAACGACATTTAAAGACACCCGTACACAACAAAGGAAAATATAAAGGAAAGCCCAGAGGTCCGTCCCAGTGCGAAAAATGGTGGAAATGTCCAGTCTGTTATAAAGTTGTGAACAGAGAAAAAAAGACAAAAAGAAGAACATCAGTGTGGAGAGTACTATTGTTCTTCATGTCAAAAATTTGTTTTTGAAGATCATTTATGTTATATAAGAGCTATGCCAGCTAAAGAAGATTTCAATCCAAGATTTATATTTTTTTATTTTGAATGTACGCAAGACCAAATTTTAGAATGTCAGGAGGGATAAATCGTTACCAAGAAACCAGATTGTAGAGACTGTCAACCAGAACAGAAGTGTAAAGCCTGCTCCAAATATCGCCACTGTAAAACATCGTCGTGCGGAAAAGCCATACATCGACCCAATTTCCTCGTAGCTCACTCAGTATGTCCAGATTGTATTGATAAGCCTTTAACGCCAAAATCCGTCTGTAATAAATGTGGAACACGTTGCGAAGAATGTGACAGCACTAACCTATTCGATGAAGAAGATACAGAGCCATGCCATGAAAAGTGCGGGTTCAGGGAAGTTATATTTGAGGGTGAAGACACTGCTGAAAAGTTTGGCGAGTGGTTATTTTCTGATCAGCACCGACATTTTAAAGCCGTGGCTCACAATATGAAAGGTTATGATGGCTATTTCCTTCTTGAATACCTTATCAACCAATCAGTACGACCAGACAAAATTATCTATAACGGTTCCAAAATTATGTACATGTGTGTAGAGAAAGGGTTACATATTAAAGTTTTAGACAGTCTAAATTTTCTACCCATGAAATTATCGGCATTACCCAAAACCTTTGGATTACAAGAATTAAAGAAAAGCTGGTTTCCTCATTTCTTCAACACAAGGGAAAATCAACAGTATGTAGGACCCTACCCGAAACCCAAATTTTACGGTGTTGATTTCATGTCCACAAATGAAAGAAAAGAATTTTTGCAGTGGCACCTGACTAAAGAGGGTGAGCTGTTTGAATTAAGAAAACAAATACTTGAATACTGTAGAAGTGATGTGGATATTTTGAGACAAGCCTGTCTTAAGTTTAGACACTTATTAATGACAGCTACCGGTAAGCAAGAAGATATAATCAGTGACAAAGGAAAGTTGAAAACGGTTTGGGTGGGTGCTATAGATCCTTTTGACTATGTAACTATAGCATCCGTATGCATGAACATGTACAGAACTAAATTTTTAGAAGAAAAGTGGAAGGTCAAGTTAGACAAAGAGAGTAAATGGACTCCCGCTCAAGTCACTGACGGGAAATTATACGTTTATCACCAGAACAAATGGATCGGAGAGGACGACCTAAAAGACAATAAAATTGATCATAAAGAATTTGTTTCAACCAAAATAGCAAAAATCCCTTCCAGCGGTTACAGAGATCAATACAGTAAAGTTTCCATACAGTGCTTAGAATGGATAGCCAGCCATGAAGAAATCTATATCCAACACGCTTTAAATGTCGGCGAAAAAGGTCTAACCGGAACACGTTATAAATTAGATGGTTACTGCGTAGAGACCAATACAGCCAATGAATTCCATGGGTGTGTTTTTCATGGGTGTCCTACTTGCTTTCCAGAAGATCGGGAGGGGACCTTTCACCCCCAAACAAAACAGTCCATGAAGGAACTCTATGCTTTCACGATGAAAAAAGAAACATTTCATAGAATGCCAGGGAATAAAGTATGTCTGTATTTGGGAACATTAATTTCACGAACAGCTAGAACAAAACACCGAACTGAAAATATTTATAGACAATTTAGATTTGACGGACAGATTAGATCCACGGAAAAGTTTCTTTGGATGTAGAACCAATGCCAGTCAACTTTACTACAATGTCCAAGAGGATGAAACATATAATACGTTGACTTCACAAGCTTATACCCCTGGGTTAACAAGTATTGTGAATATCCTGTTGGTCATCCGAAAATCATTGTTAAAGATTTTCAAAATATAAGTCAGTACTTTGGCATTGCAAAAGTTAAGATTTTACCACCAACAGACCTTTATCATCCTGTTTTACCGTACAGATCCAACGGAAAACTGAAATTTCCACTCTGTAAGATCTGCGCAGATACCGAAAATCAAGATGACTGCACATGTTCGGACGAAGACAGAACGTTAACTGGCACCTGGTGTACACCTGAATTACAGACAGCAGTAAGGCTAGGTTACAAAATTATGAAAATGTACGAAGTATACCACTGGGAAGAAACCACCAAATATGATTCCTCCACAAGAGAAGGGGGTCTGTTCGCTAAATACATTAACACCTTTCTTAAGTTTAAGCAAGAGGCAAGCGGTCCACCTGATTGGATTAAGAACGAAGAAGATTTATCTAAATACATACAGCAATATTTTGAAAAAGAAGGTGTTTCATTGAAGGTGGAAGAGATCATAAAGAACCCTGGATTAAGAGCATTGGCAAAATTATGCCTAAATAGCTTTTGGGGCAAGTTTGGACAGCAGCTAAACATGCGACAGACTAACTTTTTTCACAAAACAGAAGTCAGTGAGTTTTTTCAACTGTTTTCCGATACGATGAAACAACCGCAAAACTTTCACATTCTCTCAAACGAAATTCTTCAAATGGAATGGACTTACAAAAACGATTGTCAGCCCGAAGATAATAAAACGAACATATACCTGGCCACCTTTACCACATGCTGGGCTAGACTCAAACTCTACAGCATGTTGGAAGTGTTAAACAGAAGAGTCCTGTATTACGATACAGACAGTGTCATATATGTGAGTAGAAAAGGACAATATGATCCACCTTTAGGAGATTACTTGGGTGAATTAACAGACGAATTAAATAGTGACGTATACATTGTAGAGTTTGTGTCAGGAGGGCCAAAAAACTATGCTTATAAAACCAATAAAAAAAGAATTGTGTAAAGTGAGAGGGTTCACGCTTAATTTCACAAATAGTCAATTAATCAATTTTCAAAGTGTTAAAACCATTGTGACAAATCCAAAATGTTGTAAAACTATCGTAGTGACAAACCCGAGTAAAATTTGCAGAGACAAACGAAAAAGAAAACTGGTTAATAGGGAAGAGCAAAAAACGTATCAAATGGTGTATACTAAACGTAGAATATTAGACAATTATGATACTATACCATACGGATATCGATAGAAAGTAATTGAATGTGATAAATATGTCAATACTGTTACTTGTTTTTTGTTTGCACAGTTTATGTTATGTACTTGTTGTTTTGTTTTTTGCAGCAGTTGCTCCTAAATTTGTACGTTTGCATATAAATTCCTCGCTGGTACGTTTCAGTTTTTGTCACTAGCCTTACATGTTTTGCCGGTAATATTATTTATTTTGTCATAACTGTTAACATCTGTGTTACGGATGATTTAAGAAATACAATGTCACTCTCGTATTTATAAATGTTTAACTGAAGTATGTAAGAACAGGTCATTTTTGACTCATTTTGTTACGTCTGTTAATAAGAACGTAAAATAAATGAATACTCCAGAAACACATGAATCCGGAAGGGAATCTTTTATTTATTTTCCCAAATCCAATGAAGAAAGTCGATCAAGCGAGGAAAGGTGGCATTTGTTAGGTACTTGTGTACCCAAAGCCGAAATCGTTTATTTTTGCCAAATGATCATTGTGTACATCATTATCATTACCTCGATCGTAAACCTGTCGCTCAGAAACGGCTCCCCAGAACTTTGGATTAGTCTTCTCAGCAGCTGTATCGGTTACGTCTTGCCGAGTCCTAAGATCAAGAAATAATGAAGTCTGCATTACCGTTTAAGCCTTGTTCCAGTATATGTATTAGTGGTCAAACCGGAAGTGGAAAAACGCAATGGGTGTATAGGTTTTTGAAAAACTTGAAGGATATGTATTCTGAAGATCCTCCTTCACACATATTATACTGTTACGGTATACATCAAGACTTATTTGACACGATGGAACAATTCATTCCACATTTTGACAGTAAACAGGGTCTACCAACAGCTGAGCAACTGGATGACTTTACCCGGGACAAGAGACATAAGCTGATCATTGTCGATGATCTTATGCACGAAGTGATGAAACATAAAGATATGGAATTGTTATTTACTCAAGGCTGTCATCATAAGAGGGTTTCTGTCATACTAATTACACAAAACTTGTATCCAGGTGGTAAACACGCCAGAACTATCGCCTTAAATACCTGGTACATTGTACTAATGAAAAATTTAAGAGATGTCTCGCAGGTAGGAACATTAGGGAGACAAATGTACCCTGGAAAAACGAAAGGTTTCATGAAAGCCTATGAAGACGCATTAGAAACGAAGCACGGTTCTTTTTTGGTAGATATGAGCCCACACGCTGAGGAGAGGTATCGTCTGAGGACCAATATATTTCCGGGAGAGGATTCCAGTAAGAAGAAGGAAGTTAAAACTTGTAAGAGTAACCATGGTGGAACTCATCAGACAGCAACGTCATTTTTTACAACTATTGGTGCAAACATTCCCAGCGCAAAGGAAAGTATTGTTAAGCACGATTACCAGACAACAACTGAAGTCTCTTGCTCAAATTGCATACAACGTTCTTCGATTTACTATTGTTATGTATGCAACATATTACATGTATATAGTTTGTATCTGACCAGTTGGTATTTCCAATATTATCATTGTTCTATTTTTAGAACATAAACTACATGTATGTACTAGAACTTTAATAACTGTTGTAGAAAACTCATGCATTATATTTAGATAGAAATTTCTGGAATGAAATTTATTATTGGTGAAGTTGCTAGATTATGATTACTGTAGTAAATGGAAGACTATTCTAGAAACTTCTTAGTTAATATATATAAGGAGACATTTTTCATTACTCTTATCTTTAAGTCATCAGTTACCTTTTAAGTCATCAATATATTTGGAGTATTTTACAACTTGGATATTAAGTGATTTATTGGAGCTTGGATTATTTTAAAATAGTTAAAATTATTCTTGTGGATTTTATTGTGGGAATTTATTCTAAAGTGTTCTTGGATTTTACTTGGATTTAAATGTGCTATTCAAAAAAGGATCATTCCAGGATCAGACTAGACATTTGAGATTTCATTTTTATTTGGACTTCAGGTATTTGTAAACATAATTTGTTATTTTATTTTTCTTTAATAATTTTTCTGTAATAAATTTGTTATTGTTACAAGTTTGTTGCTGGCTTTTCTTTCTTGTTACGCCTGGCTCGTAACACTATAAAACTGACGTCATCCGAAAAAGTCCGTCTTAAACGACAGAGACGTTTTATTTACCTGCTGGGAAACAAGAAGATTGGATTTCAAAAGAAAAAGGAAGCTATCAGAGACAATCAAAGAACTACATATACTTTGGTTAAAATTACCTCAGTGTATTTAGAACCCCTATTGCAATAATGGACAAGTACATTTTGATCCCCTATGACAAATACCAACGCCTATTTCAGCCTAAGTACAATGGGTCTGGAGAAGTAAAGGATGATGACAAGACCGAAATTATTCCTAAAATCTTTTTACCACCACCTGGAGAACGTGACAAGAAAATGAAAAGAAAGCATGTAAAGAAACCAAAAATGACTTATACGGACAGTGTTAAATCTATAAACTGGTTGTATTAAGAAACAACAACGAAGTTCTTTTGTAGTTATCTCTTTTATTACTGTATACAAAATAAACGAATACAAATTTTATTATTTGTTTTTATTTACAATGTTGTTAACGTACTGATCATTCAGTGCCCGGTTATACACATTAAAAGGTTGTACAATGTCCTTCATTTTTATATTCGCATATCTTGTCATGACGTAATACACGCAATAAAGTCCGCAGGTATCTGATTTAGAGTCTTGAATCGGATCACATATCATCCAGTACTTGTTTGTTAATACGGTTTCAAACCCCACCTTGTAGTCACTAGGCAGTTTACTGAGAGAATCAAAGAATTCGTAAGGTCCTCTCCTTGGAAAGTAAAAGGTGACCCAATGTTTTCCGGGTCCATCGCTCGTATCCGTATTAGCAATTACAAATTGTCCCTTTTTAGCGCGTAATTGGTCAGCCGCACATACTGTTACTGGGTATCCTACGAGTAAACGTTCTAGTTCTAAATTATTCATTTCACGTACACGGCTTTAGCTTTATCGATATTGAGTACCTCGGGGAAAGTGGCGTACATAATCAAGGTGACACTCTCTGGTAAAGCCTCAGTGAACTTAAGTTCTAGACGGCAATGTCCCTTCCTTTTTGTATTGAATGAATAGTAAGGGTCTATATCAAGAGCGTACAAGCAGTATCCATTCTTGTAATTTTCTTTGGAAATGTTGAGATCGTTTCTGTAGAGAGCTAATGTTCTGTAACAGTCCACGTAGTGATTGGCCGTATAATTTGGTTGCATCGGCTGACAAGGTAAAGAATGTCCATCGACGTAGAGTCCTACAAAACTGCAGTTTGTAATGTTTAAAGTTGAATGGGTTCTGTGTGTAATCACCATTAAACGCCGCGCTAGAGACTAGACCTACTATCAGTTTACTTGGTACTAAACCTTGGAATATATCATCTGCGCTGTAACTGAACTGGCCAGAGGCAATAGCTGTGGTTTTGATCTCTGTGCGTAAGTAAGTGTATATGGCTGGTGTATCTTGAATGAGCTTCTCACGCGCTATTATTACGCTACTAGTGAGTCGCTGAATGCAGAGTCTGAAATAAGCATCCACTATTTTCACTCGGTAATCTGGACTGATAGCGTCAGTGATGATTCTAAATGCATCTCGACTAGGATGGAGTTTTATACCGACAGAGACTACGTTGATGAGTAGTTTTGACTGTTGAAACAAATCAATATGTAATGGTCCTTCCATATCCACAATCTTACTACCTTTAGTAAGCACGTATCTCATAAATAGTCCACTATTACTGCCCGTTTTACCATCATTGGTACCAACGTCACCCGTATCTTTAAAGAAGAGTTGACTGGTCAACAAGTTCACCTGCATATTTTCGTTGGACTGTAAAATCGTGTCTATGTAAGCTTTGTAGGGATAATTGATTCCTGTGTGTGATAAAGGCGTTTGCTGCAGAGACACATCGACCTGACTGAATATAGTGTGTAAAGGTAGATTGATTGGCCCCACCACCTCGTCTGGGTTTATTGCACTGCCATCGCCTTTGACAATTTGAATTTTTAGGTTTAGCACGCTCCTTTTCAGATCCATATAAGCCGAAGACTGGCCCGGTATATTGAATTCGAGAGCGGACGCATTTGTCACTTGATTTACTGGCCGGTATGTGATCCATTCTCTCGATTGCAATGACGGGTCTGCAGGGGGTGAAACGAACAAGGACAACTCTTCTTGGTGATAATCTTCCATGTTCTTTAGAACTGAAATTCGGGACCGACAAAGTTAGGTCTCCTTTGCTTAGATGGTTTGCAGGTGAGCACTGTGGTATTCTTACGCTTTTTTTGGTCCTATCTTACTTTGGCCTTCTTGTTCAGCCTTAATACGTCTGACCTCAGACACGGCAATTTCTGTCGCCTGTGCAACGGGTGATACCAGTTTTAATGGCGGTGCCTGCTTCATTTCGGTCAGTTTTCTAAGATGATTACCGCTACCGACGATGTAACGGCCTCTGTGATCGGGTCTTACATAACCCTCACTCATATCCTTGAAATGTTGATACCATTTCTCTGGGTCGGGAACATATGGTACCCATTTCATTTGTTTATAATCGTATACTTCTATGGAGCCCATATTTTCTTAAAATGTAAAACGCAGTGAAGATCGTTCGATTTGAATTCAACTGGGTATAAATCTTCGTCTCTCAAATACAAATTCAGCGTGTTGAAATGATTCGCTGCCACTGGTACGTATATCGGATGCGTGTATTCTACAGCTTGAAGTTTTTTGTATCTGGTGCCCACTTCGATATTTCTAAGTATGGATATTTGCGTGTTTCTGACGTAAGTTTGCTCCACCAAATCGCAGCATAAATACAGTCTTTTACTTTGAGGTGTAAAATCGCAGGTGAGAGAAATTTCTGTTAAGGCACAGGTCCAACGTCCTTCCAACGTATACGACTTGGGAAACTGAATATAAAAGTCTGATGGATTGTTGTTCTTACGTATGTTCTGAGAATATGCACTGTTAAGATAAAGATAAAAGTCGGACATGTTTGTTTTGTTTTTTATATTTATGCGAGTCTTTGCTTTCTTACGCTTCTCTGGTGGATCTGACTTCGTCCAGGATAGTATCAAAGAGGTATGGAGGTCTTAACAACACGGTTACCAGAGTGTGATGACGTCTTATCAACGATTTCTTTCTAGTCTGTGACACGTGTCTGGAAGCCAAGGACCGTAGCAAAAGTCGTCTTCTTTCAATTAATTGAACGTCTCTTCTCAAGGGATTAATGGTTCCATTCACCAATCTCTTGGCCACTTGAGCTATAGCCTTCATTTGACTAACCGTCATATTGGTGATCATATTTTTTCTGGCAGTTATAGTGGCATCCTTTAAGTGGAGAAGATAATTGAGTTTACGGTACACCTGAGACTGGTTCATGGTTGATTTCTCTTAACATCAACTCCTTCTTACGCGTGTACTGTTCCAGTTCAACGAGTACAGGATAGACCACGTCATCGATCTGTGAGAGAAATTTAATTCCCGTTATAACCACCTTACCACTGTGGAAACAACAAAAGTTCATGTTATCCCTCTTAAGGTTAAGAGCTGGAAAGAGGTCCGGTTCATACATCACATGTCTTTCCGCTGCTAACTGTTTTAAATCTAGCGATGAACTTAAAGTATGACAGCAAGATACGGTTAAACACTTGATGCTTGTTAACTTGACTTGTAAGCCAAGTTTTTGAAGTTTTCTGGCGTATCGTCGTAAACGTAATCGCCCTTCCTTAACGCTGGCTGCTTTTCCATTACAGTTGAAACTGCCATTAGAAAACACTAAACAGTTTCCACCGATGGTTTTGTGTTGCCAAATAAGTCCGGGAAATTTTCTTGGCTCGTACCTCGCATTTGAAATGCGGTAACATAAATGTCGCAAGTTGATAGGACAGAATTATTTGGCACTGGTTACAACGTTTGTGATGATCATAACTGGTTAATAGCTAACCTTTAAGTGAAAGTAAACAGTCAATTTATTACCTATAAACTGAGGTAAAAATCACGTGACTAGGAGTACTGTGTTACTTCTGTTTCCGGGATCCAGCTGTCGTATTTTTAGGCCAATGCAACCACCTGACCATTACCTCACGCTGATTGTTTCGAGTCCTTTTCTTCAGTATTTTTTCAATATGGTATGCTGTCGTCTCATCCACACTAACCGCTTGTAGTTCATGCTCATAAAATGTACCGTCTATCAATTCACCGTCCCAGTTCACCAGTCTGTAGATTGGTAGATCCTGTCTTCTATAACGCGTTTTAATTTTAAAGATTTCACAAGTCCATTTCTAAGAATATTCCCGATCAAACACGTTTCGCACGTGTGACACACGTACTGTTTGACCTATTTTAAAGTTGTATCTTATTCTTCTCTGCTTCAGCTTTATTTCCTTTGGTTCTCAGTAAGTACTGCTGCAGCCGGCTTTTTCCTTCAGTCTCTACACTAATGCTTGCAGGATGGGTCCCCAAACTACGATTTAATGTATGATTATAACTATGTATCATATTTTGAAAAACTTCTATATAGAGCTGTGTTTTGTTTTTCAGCATATATCTGAAAATCTTATGTTTGATTGTCTTAATAAATCTCTCGGCATAATTAGCTTTGGTTTCGGTGTTCAGGGCATACAAATGATGTACATGTTGACCTTGTAAATATCTTTTTACGTCCTTGCTTCTAAACTCCATTCCTCTGTCTGTGCGGATGGTATTTGGTTTCCGTGAGTTTGAAAGTATCTGTGCTAAAGCTAAAACTACCTGACTTCCCTTTTTAGTTTTGATGGGTTGGGCCTGAGCATAACGGGAAAAATATCTATGGCCACAAAGATGTCTTTATAACCGTCATTTTGTTTTGACACGTCACTCATATCCATTAAGTCCAAATCCCACTGACTATCAACCCCGTTCACAATCACTCTAGAACGTTTGAAACGACGCCTGGCCCCTCTTGTCAAAGAATAGGATTCTTGATCTTGTAACCATTTTCGTATTTTATGTCTCCCGATGTTATATATATTCTCCTTCTTCACGTATTAATATAATTTCTCAGGACCACCGAAACTAGCTGAATGTTTCGGGTCAAAGTACAAAGATGACAAATAATGCCTCCAGTTTGTCATGTTTTTATCTTTGCACAATTTTAACTAATTCTTACACAACTGAAATATCTTATATGCATTACAAAGTCATATTCTAATATTTACAACAAAGAAAATTAAATTATAAAACAGTTGCAGTCCTATTTTCATCCATATTAATTCCTAAAACTTCAAATAATCTTTCAACAACTTCGATGGCTTCTTGCTTTAACTGTCTATATCTTAACCACCATTCAAAGTCTCTAAACAGTGACAAAATAACAAATGCAAAACCAATCATGATTAATAGCGATTAAAATGTTTTCCTATAAATAAATTAGATCCAGTAGAACTGTTTGATTCCGGTGCAGTTCCAAAACCGAAGGTATTGTTACAAATTCCATGTAATGTGACAATTCTATCACCACTCTTGTACCCAGTCATTCTCAGATAGATACACTCTGGAGACCAATTTGCGTGTTCTTCCCAATGTTCGTCTTTCGGTTCCTAGGACATCAAGTTTATGCCACAGGCAAAACACATAACTTTATCGACATTACCTGTATAATAAAATCCCGCTTTGGTTAACGCTTCTTTACCCTGTTTTATTTGTTTCGACCAGTGTTCAAACGTTACCAGCCGATCATCATAAAACTTCATGTCTAGCTTGAAAAACATTGATGATCTCACTGAATCGCTTTTGGTAAAAAAATTCATATCAGTAAATCAATGTTCTTAAAACGTGTCAAATCTATAAGTTTTATACCTCATCAAAGCACGAACAGACACCAAGTAATTTGAAAATGTTACTGTAGCTATTAACTTTCCTCAAACATTTAAATACGAATGATCAGGAAACGGAAGTAAAAGAAAGTAAACAACCCTTTACCTAACATGTCAAACGTTTAACCTGTATTGTATACACATACGTAATCGTAATATTATCCGCTAGGTCTTGTCTCATTAATGACGTAATAGTGTCGATCAAATTATGCAATCTGTCAATATGGCCGCCACAGGTCGTGGGGCGAAAGTAACGACTATACTACTTACATTTATCCGGAAAAAAATATGTTCAGTCCCGTCAAAAATCTTCATTGGAGTCCCTTTAATCTTAAATCGATTTCGTTTTAAATCTAAATCTAAATCATTACTTCTTAAGTTACTTGCAATACAACTTTAAAATGATTAATAATTTGCAAACAAATTGGGGCTGCCGCGATAGGAGGTTTTATTTCTAAATTGGTTCATGCAAAACATGATAAGATCATCAAGAGATACATTCAGACTAATTTTCATAATATGTTTCTTACCTTCCAACACTGATAAAAGAATAAAGTTATACCTTTTTTTCCTTCACTAATGTCATAACGTTGTGTTCCTAATGATCTATATCATCCATTAAATACATGTAATAAATTCAACACAACAATGGTTTTAATCCCATTTTTGACAATTTAAAACAGGTGACATTTCGGCAATTTATTATGTCTTAAACAAAGGACACAAACATATAATTATATTGTTACAGAAATAGACAACATTAAAAAATACGTTTTCCAATTAATTGCAATGATCATGTTAAATAAAATGATATTGTTTTACCCTGTCCGTCCCAAGATTAGTAAGATATTGACAGTGATTTTCTCAATATTTTAAGAATGGTAATAAGGATAGCGTTACCATTTCTCATAATTTGTCGCTTGTTCTTTCTACAATAAATGTCTCATCTATGAAGTAAAAATATGCTTATATGTTTCGGACATAGTGTTAAAAAAGTACTTAAACATTCTACTGTCCGTCAGACACCATTCATCACTACATTTGCATGCAGAACAATATAATCACTAACAAAGATAGTTATTGGTGTAATCAAATGAGAGTGCCGCTATACAAATTTAATAGTTTACTATGTCAGTACTTAGGACGGTTGCGTATATCTGCCATTCCCGCTATATCGATTTTTCTTGAACCGTATATGTCTATAGCAAAATATCTACTCATGTGAACAAAAGGGTATTTTCACTAAATGCATTTAAGTTGCATTCCTATACTCAAGTATTCTACTAACTTAATACGCAGGGGAAATATAGATTGTGTATAAAGTAATGAAGATGTTAT